TTCACCTGATACACTCACTTGTTGTGTAATGCCTTCTTACCTGGAAGTTCTGTCAGCTCTCACTTGCTCTAACTTTCATCTTGCAAGATTTCTTCATTGCTCTATGGTTCTCCACCATCTGTCTGTGGAACAATAGGAATGGATGCCCCGGACCCACTCTCTTCTTCACTTCCATCATCAACATAGCCATGAAGTGTCAGCAATAGTGTATCTTGTACTTCTTCAGATACTACATTTGTGCTATCATTCTCCATATTCTTGTGATTTCTGTAGTTCCTTTTTATGTGGCCAACCTTGCCACAATTCAAGTAGGTTGTCTGTTGATCAGACTTTGATTTTGATCTCCCTTTGTTTGAGTTTCTGTCTTGTCATCTTCCTCTGAAATCAACATTCAGTGTCGAACTCGAACTTGAGATGTCGTCATACTCTTTCGTGTGCACCTCCTCAGCCAAAATCAAATCACGAATATCATCACATTTCAATTTTGATTTACTTGCAGAATTGTTAATTGTCATCGTCATGAATTCCCAACTATTTTGCAACGATGCCAACAATATCAACGCACGTATCTCATCATCAAAATCAATTTCAACAGACGACAATTGATTTGTGATAGTATTAAAATTATTCAGGTTTTGAGCAACAAAAACACATTCCTCCATGTTCAAGTTCAATAACTTCTTCATCAAGTACATCTTGTTAGTCGCTGATGGCTTTTCATACATACCTGATAAGGCTGTCATGAGATCTGCAATCATCCTTTTCTTAAAGAAATTGTGTGCAACGGAACTCAATAGGGTCAATCGAATAACCCACAGAACTTGTCGATCCAATAAGTGCTATTTAATAAGTTCTATTCAGCTTCATTCATCTTTTCAAGTCTTTTCCCTAATAATGGAAGATGAAGTTTCTTCTCATAGAGTTAGTCCTCTATTTTCATCCTCTACTAACCAAAATCTTTGTCATCGAACTTCTCAATTCCTTAAACCTTCACTTCATTTGCAGCCATCATTCTTCCTCAGATCCGAACAAGGCTTTGATACCAGTTGTTGTGAGATATAGAACGAAAAAATTCACATCAGAAAACATTAACACAACAGAACACATAGATTTACGTGGTTCGGTAAATTGCTTACATCACAGTACATCAGAAAATATTAACACAACAGAACACACAGATTTACGTGGTTCGGTAAATTGCTTACGTCCACGGAGTTGCAGTGGATTTTATTATTTCGAGGATTACACTGTCAAATATGTTGACTTACAAGAAAGAACTATCTCTCTCACTCTTTTTCTCTCTATCCTCTCTTACTATTCTTCTCTCTCTACATTGAGATACACTGAAGAAGCTCTACGCTGAGATACACAAAAGAAGATAAACTTACAAAAGAAATAAACTTAATTTCTCTTCTGCCACAAGCCACCAAGAAGAAGTCAAGGGAGAATAATAATAATCTTCTTCTTCTTCTTCCTTCTTCCTTCTGTCGCCTGTAACTACTGCTTGCACTATTCTTCCTCTATCCCGAGGAAGCTTGAAGAAGAACGCTAAAAACCGTGACTTCTCAAACTGAAGATGAGCCGTCCGAAGCCTTTTATCGCGAGAAGGAAGTGGGAGACATCGCCACTATTTGCGATCGGACAAAGCGAAGCTTCGCTTCGCGCCCGCGGGAGCAGGCGGTGGCGGAAGCGGGAACAGGTCTTGTGAACTTAAGAGGCGAGCGGGAGCAGTCACGACGATTCATGCCAGAGCAGGAGCGGCGCTTCGCGATCGAGCGGGAGGCGGGATCGGGCTCGGGCTCGGGCTCCAACACAACACATTAGCATAACTTTATAATTGGATTATTATATGTAATTATATATTTCTCCCAAAATTTACTATTATTAATTTTTTGTTTTTTAACTTTTGAATGCCCAAATGTTGAAATTATAGAATTTTTATCTTTGGTAATTTTTTTATGATCAAACTAGTCAAGAAAATAAATATTTTTTTTAATGTATCACATAACATTTTTATCTATCCTTATGAATTATTTCATCTAAAAAATTATCATTTAGTAGGGTGAAAATTTTATAAATAGCAACTTCACATAAATTACAAATTTCAAGAGTTTATTATGATTTGAATTCATGACAAATTTGATTAAATTTTCTTATACATGTTACCCTTTTATATAAATTTTAAAATTTCATTATAAAGCATTTTTTCTCTAAGATGTTTTTGAATGATCAAGCTTGTAGTTCGTGTGCAACATTGTCTATAAAAAAATCTTTTATAATGAACATTCAACGATATATATCCTTTCATTTTTTTTTTAACATACTTTTCATATTTTTTTTTTCTTTTTTTTTTCTTTTAATTTTTTTACTCATATATAGTATGAATAAGTATTTGAGGTGCCCTTAAAGATGGATATTGACTCTTAACATGATATTATATTTTTTAGCAATTATTATGTTTTTATAAAGAAAAATCAATGATATATATCCTTTCAATATTTTTTTAATATATTTTTCATTTTTTCTCTATTTTTCATTTAGTTTTTTTTCTCATATATGCTAGGAATTGGTATGTTTTCTTTTATTGTGTAGCCACCATAAATCTCAAAAGATTTCAATTTGAATGATCAGATGCGGCATTTGAAATTTTATATATTATTTTGAGGGATGTAAATATTATCTTAGAATAGATCTAATCACGTGGATAATAAAATAATATCTGACCTTTTCTGTTACCTTACGGGTATAAAATAAAATTTATTTTATTCTAGGGTTGGTTTTTCAGTGAGGGAAAGCCCTCATTTAGTTAATTACATTTAAGGAGTGCCAGCCCTCCCACGAGAGCACTCTCGATTAAATTTTTGACCTATTTTGCCCAAAGTTATCGGTAAGTGTTTATGAGATGATTGATATCAATGACTTAAATTGATAGATTTAAGATCAAAATAATTTGAGTGGAATTTGAAGTTTGAATAAGCTTCATTAGAGTTGATTCAATTGAGTAAAAAAATGTGAGTTGGTTGGGTTTAATTTCATTTGAAGATTTGAGTTTAAGTTGATTTGTTTGTTTTGATTTATTTAAGTTTGTTTTCAAGTTGTTTGTTGAGAATATGTTTAAATTTTTTTTATGTTGTGTTTGTTTAAAATCATTTATTTAAGTTCTTTGAAATTGATTTTATTATATCAATACTAATTAGAATTATTAGGTTTATTTTAGAATTTATTTGATGTTATCTAATTCATTAAATATTACTAACTTTACTTTTAAAATTTTTTTGAGTTTGCTTAAAGATTTAAGGTTTGTTGATGCTTGCTAAAGTTAGTTTAAGCTCATTAAAGTTTGTTAAAAATTATTAAGTTTTATTAAAATTTGTTAAAGTTTGTTAAAATTTATTAAAATTAATTTAAATTTGTTAAAGTTTATTTAAATTTGTTAAATTTTGTTAAAACTTATTTAAGATAGCTAACGTTTGTTAAAATTTATTTAAGTTCAGTTAAAGTTTGTTAAAATTTATTATGTTAGTTTTGAGTTAAAGTTAATTAAACTTTTTGAGGTTTAAGTATTATGTTAGTTTGAGTTAAAGTTAATTAAACTTTTTGAGGTTTAAGTAAAATTTACTAATTTAACTTCAGTTGGAGTTTGCCACAATTTATATAGTTTATTAAAATTTGATTAAGGTTTATTTAAAATTGGGTTCAAGTTTTTTAGTTTGAATTTTAAGATCTTGAAATTCTAGAGTTCGGGCCTAATAATTTGAGAAAAAATCGAGAAATTGATATCAAATTTTAGGATTTGAATTTGACTTGGAGTTTGAAAATGTGTTTGGGACATAGGCAAGTAAATTGGCTTTAATCTTTTGAATTGGGTTTGGATTGAATTTTAGTTTGGCAAGTTTAATTTGAATTTAAAATTGATATAAAGTTGAGTTTGATAAGTGATTGCATTTCATTTGAAAGTTAGATTTGAATTTGAATTCAAATTTATGTTTAGATTTAAGTTTGGAGTTGACCCTCCTCTAAAGGGTAGAAAAAGTTTAGGGAATTTATAGATGGAGGTAAAGCCTTAACTTAAAATAATTATAAAAAGGAGGCTAAATGGGTGGACTAACCTAAATTTTGAGAATAATGCCCCTAATAGAGAAAGATTTAGAAACTTAATCTAGCTTGGACATCCTTAACATCTTCTTTGACATGCTTAAATCATGAGTTATTCTTTTAAAAAATAAAAGGTACACCATATATAAACTATATACCACCCATCAAGATCATTTCCAAATCTTAAATAGAAAAGAACTTGAAAAAAAAAAACCATCCGTAAGAGATAACAAATCTACATATCCTTTAAATGCTCACATCTTACTTATGGCTTTTCAAGAGATCGCCATAGAAATTATGCTTATCGAGTGTGTAACCAACCAACGTTAAACTCCATGGCTCGGAGCCATCCTCAATTACTAGATCAAAAAAAGAATCGCTCATCTGCACAAGGAATACAGAGGAGAGAAATTGGAGGGTTTAGAGATATTAGAACATAAAAGCCCCTTCCAATTAAGAGTTGGAGCATATCCAAGAGGAGAACCATAGGAAGATGAAAACCGTAAAAAAAAAAAAAAAGATGAGCCGACTTAATGCAAGGGGCATCACTTAAAGCCTTCAAAAGTAGGCAAATCCTTCAAAGAATAGAAAGAAAGGAGAAGGGGAGATGAAAATACAAGTAGAGCCCCTTCTTTGAGGGGAAAATATTACCTACCGATATTCGTTGGTGCGGACACGAGCTGAGATGGGCTAAACATAGGCGCGACGACCATACCTAATCAGCAATCTGTTCCTAGAGGAAACACTACATATTTATTGTAATTCGTACCTACTAAGAAGGCAACATCTTGATGCCCAACATTTACACGTGGACACCATCATAGTTAATTCGCACGATTTTCAAAGCTTAGACAATATCAAATTCCCTCTTCAAGCATCCGTTTATAACAAGAGGGTCCATGAACCACTCTGCTTCCCACGCTCCTCCGTCTATTTGAATTTGAAAAATGAAAACCCACCGTCGCAGAATGAAAGAGCGGGCCGAGTGAGAGTCGGAAAGAAATTGGGGGAGAGAGATAGATGTAGAGAGCGCAAGACCCGCCTTTGCGCATTTATATAGGAACCCTACTTGAAGTGAAAACCGTACTCTTTCAAATTCCTTTCAAATTTCATGCCCTAACACTATCTGCCTCCCGCCAAGATCTCCTTTTTCCTCTTTCTCCTCCCTCGAGCTAACTCGCTTTCACTTCTTCACTGGCGGAATAGGCTTATGGATGGGCAGGAGGCAACGCCGGCAGTCGATCCCTCCTCCATTTCTTGCCCTAGTTCTCCATTTCAGGCGGGGACTGCTTCGGGAGTTTCTTATGGTTCTTATCTTAGTTGTTCTTTGTTTCGTGCGGTGATTTGAAGTTTGATCCTTTGTGTTTTGTAGGAAAGGAGGGCGAGGAGCAGGGAGCCGGATCTGGATGAACCAAACAAGCGAGTCAAAAGAGTAAAGCTGCGGGATCTGGATACGGTGATGCGATTAGAGGAAGGTAGACCTCGACTTTGCTTAAAATTTGTATGTTTGATTGTTTTCTGCTTCGTTATTGTTACTCGGAGCTTGATTTTGTGATATCGCGAAATGTGCAATGTTTTGCTGGATTACCCTGTTGGATTAGATAAAAAGTTTCTTTCTTTTTGGCTTCAGTTTGATCTATGTTTTTAAAATTTGTTTATTTTTCTTACCTTAACCGATGCTACGTTTTAGAGGGGAGCTGCTCTTCTAATTTTGTTATATTCAAAAGGGGAGTTGCTGATAATTTTAATTTAGTATTCATCCAATTTGCATGTCGATTGTGCGATTTGGCTTTCTTCGAATCAGGATTTTTTTTATTTGCAATGGTTGGATTACATGCAAATCGGCCAATTGTCAAGATATTTCTATGTAGCAGTGAACCTCCAAATCCAAACCTTGCGCGGCTGTTTCATTTATGAATTTATTTTTATTAACTTATATATTCTAGCCATTATGGGTTTATATCGCTGTTGACATGACATTGATGGTTGGAGAGAGTAACTCTTTTGTCTCAACTCCTACACAACCTGAACCACATATTAAATGTAACTCTTTTCTCTCAACTCCTACACAACCTGAACCACATATTAAATTATTACTTCAGCTCCCATTCCTCTTCGGCCAAACTATTTCTTTTGCATTTTTTTAGTGTGTGGTCAAACTTGCGCTGTTTATTTATGGCATTCTATGTGCTTAACTGCTTTGGAGGGAAGGAATAACTTGAGGGAGTTTGGAAATAGGGTTTTAGAGAGAAAAAAGGGGTAGTGTGTCGAAGTACTTGGCTTCTTTCTTTTCTATAGGAAGATGATTGGTTGTTTTTTTGAAATTCCTCCATCATTGTTTTTCATTTAAAGCATTGGAAGCCAATGCTTCAGCTTAGTCACATCTTTGTTAATCTTTGATGCAGTGTTTTCAAGAAAGGAAGCATAATATAATAATACATTCATTAATAATTATCAGAATTTAATAGATGACTTATAATTTGACATGGAGTAGAAAAGAAGTGTGTTTTATATCCTAATTTGCAGACAAATTTTGAAGATGAACCTGCAAATTAAGAATTCTTGCAACTTTTATTATACATAAGTATTATTAAATGATTATAAGTTTAAAGCTAGCATAGTAATCTGCTATAAAAATTTGAAACTTAAAGCTAACACCTTTAATCTGTAAAAAAAGCTAAATTTAAATACATAAGTTATAAAGTTTCATAAAGAAAGATAAATGATATTCGTCAGTCTTTGTTTTCCGTTTCATTCCCGCAATTTTTCTTTTACAAATAAATTTCTTCTTTTTATTTTTGCGACGCAAATCACATTTTTTTAAATAATATAAATTTAAGCAAGTCGAGATAGATTAGCAATCATGATATATGAATCTTCTTTTATTGTTGACAATATAAATCTTGCAGATTACCTTTAATCTTCTCTTGATGCCTTTTCAATTTATCTCCAAATAAAATTTACATCACCAAAGTGTTGCTCAACATTATTCTCATTTTCCTTAATTTATTACTTACAATATGCATCAATAGAATCCAAATTAATTAGATCATCATTCAAATTGAATATTGTTTTTTTAAACTTTGGCTCTACTTGATTTTATATGTGTGTGTGTGTGTGTTTGTGTAAAAGAATAGATTCATATGTATGTTAAATTAAAATTTTTAAAATAATTGTATTCACCTCAACAATTTTGTCATTATCTTTTAACCGATGAGTTACACATGGCGTCTATTAACATGTCTTCTTTTCTTGATAAATATTTGATTTTCAAGAACATAAGGTGTGTGTGCGTGTGTGTATGTGCGCACGGTTATGTGTGCGTGTGTCCATGTAAATATATTAAATACTATAGGTTACTAAAATGTAAGTACAATGTTGGAATGATTATTAATTACTATAGTTTACTAACATGTAAGGATAACATTGGAGTTATTATTTGTTAATATTTAAAACACTTTTTTCCCCTTTTTTGTAGTGCATCTAAGATTTTAAAGAGTTTTAATATGATTTTTGAATATTCAGATATATCATCTCTTAATGTAAATTAACAAAAACGTTTATTATAGATTGCTTTTTATGATCGATCCACTTAGCTGACATAAGAGTGCACCATTCTTCTGGCCATTTTGTGTCTCTCCATATCCTTCATAGTAGCTTGCTTTTTATTTTTAAACATAAAAAATAACACATGATTGTAGGGAGGTTTAAAAACTGATTCATATTATGCAATAGTCTCTATCATATGATCAAAATTCGCTAATTTAGAATTTGAATATTGAATGAAGAAATGTATACCATTGCCAAAATACTTAAAGAAATAAAAATAATATTTTGATACAAAGTATTTCATTACTACCAGATTGTTTGTAATACATAAAATCTCGAACCTTGATCAATTTTCTATCAACAATTGATGTGCAACATGTGCTCATTTTTAAGCAAAATTATTTGGAAGATATTGTTTTTTCAGAATCCTGGGTTGTAATATTGAGGTTGAATAAATGACCCGTAGATTAAAAAATCAAGCTAGAGATATAAATACAAGACTAAGAATAAAGGGCCAAGCAATTAAGAGCCAAAACTAACACAAGTCGATGAATGAGAGTTCCCTTGAAAGCACAAATCAAGGCATTGTATTTAAATGTAAATATATTTTCATTTTTTTACATTTTAAAATATCATTGAAGTTATGCATGATTGGACCCCCCTCAATGAAGGAGCATGAAGAATGAAAAACATTAATGAAAATATTGAAGTTCTTCATCATGTGGCCAACACCTCTCCCTTCCTATCTATTTTTTTTCTCCAAAATGAGGAAGCTTAAGAGTGATTTTTTTTTTGTAATTAGGACTTAATATGCAATAAAATTATTAGCGTAGAATGAAATCATTTGATTGAAAAATCGTTCTTCTCTTGCTTATGGTTTAGTAGCTTCAATTTTGCTTTTTTTTTTCCCTTTAAATTTAGTTAGGTTTGTTATCCCTTTTATTTAAGTTTGTTACTTCTCTTTTAAACACCTATTCTAAAACATCCTAACATCTCCCTCCACTTTTTATGCCTCTTCTTAGAGTAGTCACCATCACTCAATACTTCACAATCACTACAAATGTCACCATAAGAACTCTCGACCTAATCAGGTAAGACTATTATCTAATATTATTCTCTATCCCTTGATTGCTATTTAAACTCCACCAATCATTACCTTACTCTAGATTATAAGTACACATTTTAAGCTCCATTGGAAATTATATCCATCTAGTCCACCTAAATCTCATCACCTAAAGTGGCATTTTAAATTAGCCCAATCTAGCCCAATTTGGATTAGTCTTAGTTTTGAATAGTTATACTCCAATTTACTCACCACTCCACCAAATACTCTAGAATCTATCCTTTGATATTGAACTAAAAATTTATAACTTTCTTTAGCTTTTAATCTCTCTAATTGATGTCTTACCACTATTATTTTAGGCACCAAAACAAAGCCTGGAAGATTCAAATTTTGTTTGAATTTTTTTTAGCAGAAGGTTACTTTTCTTTGACAAATCTCTTCAAATTTGGTTTGGTTAGAGAGAAAAGATTGACATTCACTCTCTCTGAGGAACTCATATGTAACCTTTAAAATAAATTACGAATGCTTTGATAATACCTGCAAAAGATGAAAGAAATTATAAATATGATAAGAGAAGATAATAAGTAAATTAAAGACTGGCTTAGATGAATATTCACTACTTTCAAACTTGAACTTGATAAGCCGCCTCTCAATCCTTCATGCAACACAACATCATTTGATTCTCTTATAAATGCAACCACTTTTCAAGGTCTTAAAGCTTCAATTTGATTATTCAATAATAAATACATGTAGATTTCTTCAACCTAATTCTCTTGTAGAAACCAAAATATATTGACACGGACGTCTATTTCTCTAGTGACATTATGTAGGTAGGGTTGTAATTGAGCCGAGTCGAGCTAAGTATATCATAGTTTGGACTTAACTTGGTATAATTATAGGTTTTTCATGTTCGGCTTGAGCTTGTGTTTAGCTTTCATATCGTTTAAGCTTAAATTGCTTAAATTGTTTAGCTTTCATATTGCTTGGTATAATTATAACTTTATTTGTTTATGAGAAGTGAATGAGTATTGAAACGAGCTAATGAGCTAAAAAAATAAACAAGTATCTAGATTTTCAAACAAAAAGAAAAATCAATAAATAATTTAGCAAATTTGATCGCAGCTATTAATTTATTGATTAAAAATTCTAAATCCTTCAATATCTTAACTCTCATTTCTCGTTCGTTTTGCCATAAATCCCTTACTAAGAGGCTATTTAGTGGAATGATTTGTGTAGCATTTAAGTATGATATAACTTAAAGGTCTGTTTGGGGTAGTTGCAGCTTATTAAAAAATAATTGTGAAACTGCTGAATAATAATCTGATGCTCAAAAAACTGCGGTGATTATTATAATTTTTTTTTAAGTCAGACCGTAGTTAGAAAATTTATTATAATTTTTTTTTAAGTTTTTTTTTAAGTCAGACCGTAGTTAGAAAATTGTCATCGCATCTTGCCAGGAGTGGTGGAAAAACACAAATTTCAGAGCCACCCCAAACATACCCTAAATTCCACCAAACAATTAAAAATTGTAATTTTAAAACCTAAATAAACTTAATATCGAGCATTTATATTTCGTATATGATACAAGCTATCATTAAGCTATCAATAAACGAGTAAATATTTTAGTTAATTAAATTTTATTAAATAATATATCATATATGATATGAGTATTATCAAGCTTAATATCAAACGATTTTCTTCGTAAACATAAATGAACGAGTTTGATTATGTTCATGTTTGGTTTATTTAAGCTTTGAGATTTTAAAAATTGTTCAAGCTTGTTTATTTACTAATTTGTTTATTTACTAATTTGAATGAACACGATCGAGTCTTAATCGAGTCGAGTTCGAGTTGTTCATCGAA